AACCCCTCCCCCAACTGCCTCCTGTCCTCACTGCAGTGCAGGCTGTGTGGGCCAGGAGCGGCTGTGTCCCAGCCCAGGTCACACAGCACAGACCCCCTCCTCTCCTGCGAGTCGGGGACACGTTGTGACGTGGGTGTGTTACGGTGTGCGGGTGAGCGTACGTGTGTGAAGGGGCAGTAGAGGAGTCGGGGACGCGTTGTGACGTGGGTGTGTTACAGTGTGCGGGTGAGCGTACGTGTGTGAAGGGGCAGTAGAGGAGTCGGGGACACGTTGTGACGTGGGTGTGTTACGGTGTGCGGGTGAGCGTACGTGTGTGAAGGGGCAGTAGAGGAGTCGGGGACGCGTTGTGACGTGGGTGTGTTACAGTGTGCGGGTGAGCGTACGTGTGTGAAGGGGCAGTAGAGGAGTCGGGGACACGTTGTGACGTGGGTGTGTTACGGTGTGCGGGTGAGCGTACGTGTGTGAAGGGGCAGTAGAGGAGTCGGGGACGCGTTGTGACGTGGGTGTGTTACAGTGTGCGGGTGAGCGTACGTGTGTGAAGGGGCAGTAGAGGAGTCGGGGACACGTTGTGACGTGGGTGTGTTACGGTGTGCGGGTGAGCGTACGTGTGTGAAGGGGCAGTAGAGGAGTCGGGGACGCGTTGTGACGTGGGTGTGTTACAGTGTGCGGGTGAGCGTACGTGTGTGAAGGGGCAGTAGAGGAGTCGGGGACACGTTGTGACGTGGGTGTGTTACGGTGTGCGGGTGAGCGTACGTGTGTGAAGGGGCAGTAGAGGAGTCGGGGACGCGTTGTGACGTGGGTGTGTTACAGTGTGCGGGTGAGCGTACGTGTGTGAAGGGGCAGTAGAGGAGTCGGGGACACGTTGTGACGTGGGTGTGTTACGGTGTGCGGGTGAGCGTACGTGTGTGAAGGGGCAGTAGAGGAGTCGGGGACGCGTTGTGACGTGGGTGTGTTACAGTGTGCGGGTGAGCGTACGTGTGTGAAGGGGCAGTAGAGGAGTCGGGGACACGTTGTGACGTGGGTGTGTTACGGTGTGCGGGTGAGCGTACGTGTGTGAAGGGGCAGTAGAGGAGTCGGGGACGCGTTGTGACGTGGGTGTGTTACAGTGTGCGGGTGAGCGTACGTGTGTGAAGGGGCAGTAGAGGAGTCGGGGACACGTTGTGACGTGGGTGTGTTACGGTGTGCGGGTGAGCGTACGTGTGTGAAGGGGCAGTAGAGGAGTCGGGGACGCGTTGTGACGTGGGTGTGTTACAGTGTGCGGGTGAGCGTACGTGTGTGAAGGGGCAGTAGAGGAGTCGGGGACACGTTGTGACGTGGGTGTGTTACGGTGTGCGGGTGAGCGTACGTGTGTGAAGGGGCGGAGTAGAGGAGTCGGGGACGCGTTGTGACGTGGGTGTGTTACGGTGGGCGGGTGAGCGTACGTGTGTGACGGGGCGGTTGAGCGGCTGCGGGGACGCGTTGGGACGTGGGTGTGTTACGGTGGGCGGGTGAGCGTACGTGTGTGACGGGGCGGTTGAGCGGCTGCGGGGACGCGTTGGGACGTGGGTGTGTTACGGTGGGCGGGTGAGCGTACGTGTGTGACGGGGCGGTTGAGCGGCTGCGGGGACGCGTTGGGACGTGGGTGTGTTACGGTGGGCGGGTGAGCGTACGTGTGTGACGGGGCGGTTGAGCGGCTGCGGGGACGCGTTGGGACGTGGGTGTGTTACGGTGGGCGGGTGAGCGTACGTGTGTGACGGGGCGGTTGAGCGGCTGCGGGGACGCGTTGTGACGTGGGTGTGTTACGGTGGGCGGTTGAGTGTACGTGTGTGAAGGGGCGGTAGAGGAGTTGCGGGGACGCGTTGTGACGTGGGTGTGTTACGGTGGGCGGGTGAGCGTACGTGTGTGAAGGGGCGGTAGAGGGGTGGCAGGGAGTGTTGTGACGTGGGTGTGTTACGGTGGGCGGGTGAGCGTACGTGTGTGAAGGGGCGGTAGAGGAGTTGCGGGGACGCGTTGTGACGTGGGTGTGTTACGGTGTGCGGGTGAGCGTACGTGTGTGAAGGGGCAGTAGAGGAGTCGGGGGCGCGTTGTGACGGGGGGGTGTT